ACTGTTACACCAAGAGAATAGAGTCAAAGGCATCAATACAGAGTAAAGTAAGGAAGAGGAAAATGAATGTCATATATTAACACATATATCTAGAAAAATGGTACAGATGAACATATTTGCAGGGCAAGAATAGAAACACAGATGTAGAGAACAGACTTGTGGCCATAACAAGGGAAAGAGAGGGTGGGATGAACTGAGACAGTAGGACTGACATATCTACACTGAAGTGAAAAGTCAAAGTGTTGGTCACTCAGTCATGTCTGATTCCTTGCAACCCTATGGATGGTAGCCCACCAGGTTCCTCTGTCCATGGGACTCTTCAGGCAAGAATACTGGAGTGGGTTGCCATTTCCTCCTCCAGGGGATCTTCCCGATCCTGGGATTGAATCTTGGCTTCCTGAATGGCAGGCAGTTTCTTTACCATCTGAGCCATCAGGGAAGCACCTATATACACTACCATGTGTAAAACAGATAGCTAGTGGGAAGCTGCTGTATAGCACAGGGAACTCAGCCCAATGCTCTGTGATGACATAGAGGGATGGGATAGAAGAGTGGGAGGGAGGTTCAAGAGGGAGGGGATATATGTATACGTGTAGCTGATTCACATTGTTGTAGAGCAGAAACTAACACACAATTGTAAAGCAATTATATTCCCAAAAGTTTTTTAAAAATCTCTGAGAAATAAAACCATAATTGTGAACAAAATGTTAGGCAATTATCTGGCTTTTCCTACATGATACATTGTGTAATTTACTCAATGTCAATGCAACATCATTTATCGAAGGCGTTAAGGCCTAGAATATGCCAATGAAGAAAATAGAAAACAGTTCCCTTTGAATGAGTTTATTTTCCAACAGGACTGACAGGGGAGCTGATAAGTAGTACACCCAAATTATTCAATGTGCTTACAAGTGGTGAGTGCTGTGCAAAGAAATGGAGCATGGCAAAGGGAATTGGAAGTAGGAGAGAGCAGTTTAGGGTGGTGACTGTAAGTCTTGTTGAGAAGGTGACAGTTTAGCAAAGACTTTAAAGAGTAAAAACAGCGAGCCATGCTGATGTCTTGGAGAAGAGCTTTCCATGCTGAGAGAGTGGCCAGTGCAAAGGCCCTGAGGCAGGGACAGGCTTCACTTGTTCAAGAACGAGCAAGAGGTTCATGTGCCTTGAATGTACTGCATGGAGTGGTGAAAGGATGAGGTCAAGAGTTAACAAGGGCTTGATTTTGCGGGGCTTTGAAAACATGGCCAAGTCTTTTCTTTTACTCTCAGAGACTCTGGGAGTAGATGGGCTGTGATCTGACTCAGACTATGAAAAGATCACTCTGACTGCTGTGTTGTGTTTTGGGGTCAATAGCTTTGGATTCAGGTTTCCTGGGCTTGATTCTGACTCTAATATTAATTATAGGTCCAGTATAAGGTGACAGTTAATCTTTCTATTCTTGGTTCCCACATCCATGAATGAGACATAATAATTATGGTATTAACCACCCAGGGCAGTTCTGAGCACAAAATGAGAATATTCAGGCCAAACACTAAACATAGTTCTTGGGACATAGTGAACATCAAATGAATATTGGCTATTTTAATTATTGTTTAATTTATCTTCCTAATAAAAATGACCATTTTGCTATAAAAAACTGTCTGTGAATGTGTGCTTACCTACTAGTACAAGTGTGTACTCTTACACTGTTTCAATCTTCATCTTTTCATCAAAGACAGGATCTGCACTCACCTCCAGGGCACTGCCACTCAAAGGTGGTGAGAAGTCTTCATTGGGAGCATTACCATTCTGCAGGCTGGGACAGCCTCTGGGCACGTCCATGGTCCATAAGATATTACAGACAGACCCAAATGAACTTTTTGGCAAACCCGATATATTCTTTAGTCACTAAATCCAGTTCACACTCAAAGGAAGGAGAATTAAGCTCCGCTTCTTAAAGGGTGGAGTATCAAAGAATCTGTGTACATATTTGAAAACCACCACACATGGTGTGTAAATCTGGGGCAAAGGAACATTGTTTTATATAATGCCAGTTTAATTTTCAAAAAATCCAAAACATGACTTTCACACAAACATACAGTGAGCATGAGTCAAAGACCTATCATTATTAATAAATGAAGGAACTGGAAGGATGATAAAGATGATCCAAAGGGTAAGTCAAGGAACAGAATCTTATATGATCAATCAGGAAAGAAATGGTGGAATGGATTGGCTTAAATTAAACAAAAAAAGCAAAATCCTACTTAATGAATTGTAAAGCAATACAACTGTACCCAGATAAAAGCAGTCAATCCTAAAGGAAATCATTTCTGAATATTCATTGGAAGGACTGATGCTGAAGCTGAAACTCCAATACTTTGGCCCCCTGATGTGAAGAACTGACTCATTGGAAAAGATACTGGGAAAGTTTGAAGGCAGGAGGAGAAGGGGATGACAGAGGATGAGATGGTCAGATGGCATCACCAACTCGATGGACATGAGTTTGAGCAAGCTCTGGGAGTTGGTGATGGACAGGGAAACCTGGCATGCTGCAGTCCATGGGGTCGCAAAGAGTTGGACACGACTGATTAAGTGAACTGAAGTGATAACTGTTACCTTTTGGGACTACTTTTTCTATCAGGCAGAAGTTATTTGCAATTTATCAATCTTTTCTTAGTTCTCATCTAACTTCATGGAGTCTGATAGTCTAACCCATGGTAGTTAATAAGTCAAACAAAGACGGACTTTCCCCAGAGAACTGTGCAATCACACAGTTGGTGGGGCTGTTTGACAGTGCTCCAGTACGACACTGAGAGCACATGCCATTATCATTGTGTTTTATTTTCAAGTTTGGAGAAGTTTTCTTAGCAGGGATTTGCTTTATATTTCTTTCTTTCACTTTCTTGGCTCATCCATTCATTGCCCCATCCATTCATTCTGTATCTATCCCTTATTATGCACAACCCTCTGGATGTTCAGCAGTGTGGGGGTGAGGGGAGGGGGACCACATACTGGCTTCATTCTTTATTAGCAGAAGGAGGCGGGAGCTTGATGAAGCACCATGGCAGTGTCCTGTGGTTACACAGGTGCAATTCACTAGAGTCAGGGGATCATAAGGGGAAAACTAAGCAGTTGGCATTTTACCTTTTTAGGAGAAACAAAACCTTCTTCTCTATTACCACTTTGCAGATGAAAGCCTGTTTGGTTAAAGTCACTTTGCCTATTGGCCAACTCCTTCTGGAGTGTTTTTTTTTGTTTGTTTTGTTCTTCTTTGCAACTATTTGCACAAATAGTGTCTTTTCTATTTGGCCAATTTATGGCCAACTTAATAATTTTTACATAAGGCTCTACTTTTCTGAAAGGTGTTTATCACAGTAGCAGCATTATGAGTGATGAATCATTTTTCTATTCTTTGAACCATGTGATATTTTATTTATTTTTGAACACTTTAAGGACATTTTAGTCCATTCATCTGAAAACAATATTTTTTTAAAAAAATATGACTTAACAATAAATGGTTTTCTGTGGTGCTCAAGACATAATTAAACTTATTATGCACTGACCATTACCTTTCATTTACATCCATCACAAGGAGCATATGGAAGGATTAAAACTTCATGAAATGTCATACAATCACACATTATTTTATCAGTTATGTACTGAAGAAAGATCAATAATAGATGGCCCAAGATAGATTTTATTTTCAAGGGAAATAATCAGACTCACAAGCAAAGATGTTGATACAAAGATGTTTGTCACTACAAGATTTTTCAATAGCACATTATGATAATAACAACGGCTAACAATAATTGATTGCTGTAATTAAATGATGTTGCATACAAATACTCTGCAGATATTCAATGTTCTGATATCATTATACTTGATATGAAAAGATTCTGCTATTTTGCTTACATGACTAAAGCGAGTTGAAAACAGTGTAGGTGGCTCAGACAGTAAAGAATCCGCCTGCAATGCGGGAGACCTGGGTTCTTTCCCTGGGTTGCGCAGATCCCCTGGAGGAGGGTATGGCAACCCACTCCAGAATTCTTGCCTGGAGAATCCCCATGGACAGAGGAGCCTGGCAAGCTACAGTCCATGGGGTCGCAAAGAGTCAAACAGGACAGAGAGACTAAACAGAGCACATCTGGCATACAGTATGTGTAAAGTCATGATTACAGGTATGTATGGGCAGAGGAAAAACTGTTGTTCTTGGTTTGCTGATGATACACAAGCTGGAGACGAGAATTCTTTTTTTTTTTTTTTTTTTTGGTCAATCTGGATTTTCAGGTTTTTCTACAGTGAATATATACTCTTAACAGTACCTAAGCAGGTGAACGCCACCTCCAGCATTTTCCATAGTCTTGGCAAAGGCAGACAGGAAAGAGGAAGAAGGGAAGGAAAGGAGGGAGAAAACGAAAGAGGGAGAGAAGTAAGGCGGCAGGGAGAAAGGAGGAAAGGGGGTTGTTCTAAACTCTGCTTTCCTTGAGCAGCTCACTGCATGTTGCCCTTGGGTCTGGCAGGGCCATATGTCTAGGAGCTCAGTGATCACAAAGGGCTGGAAAACCCCTGGAAGTTCTTCAGAATTGATCGAAGAAGAAGACTGTTTCCAGAAGTTTCCTTCTCTGAGCGAGATAATGAGCGGCAGGTGTTTCTGGAAGCTTAAGGTGGCATGAAATCACTCTGGCAATCCTGTTCCTCCCGAGACTGAGGCAGTTTCAGGGGCCCCTCCCTAGGGATCATTAAAAGGGCTGAGGCAACCTTGGAAGAATAGGCAGACAGCACGGGCTCAGTCAGGAGAAAGGAGCGTTCTGAGGTGTCCTCTAGGGAAATGGGCTTCGCCTCTCCTGACCCCAGACCTAGAATTCCCCTGCTCCTTGGGGGCTCTTCCCATGCCAGGGCAGAGGGTCGAAGAGGGAGGTGGGGAGGGCTCAGGGGGCCCAGGTCCCCTGCCGCTCAACCTCCATTTTCACCTAAGATTTTCTGTTATCTCAAAATAGGAGAGTCTACAAGCTGGGAAGCTCGAGATGGTCCTGAGCGGGGCACTGTGCTTCCGGTGAGTACCTGAGCCTCTGATTGGCTCATGTCCAGTGCGAGGGGGCACGACTTCCGGGTAGACCTGTTTTCCAGTCTTTCCGCTGAGGGGGTGCTCGGGATTGCCTACAGTGGGGGCGTCTGGAAAGGTGTGAATAGGCACCCACCTCCTTCCTTTAGACTATCTCTCCCAGCCTCTCCAGACTGGGACAGGCTTCCCTCTTGGGGGTTACCTGATGAGAAAAGAGCTGTGGCCTCGTCCATCGTCCATCGTAATGAGAAAGGCAGTTAGGAGCTTGGATCCCTACTGTTACCTCCCATCCCTGCCTTTCCCCGCCCCCAGCCACCGCCCCCATCGCCACCTCGATGAGGTGAAGTGAAGTCAATCCAGGCACTACTTCCTTACTGCCCTTTGGGACAAAACAGCATTAGCAAAACTCTTCTGTCAGTCTGTCTGTCCACTGACCTGTGCTGAGTCAGGCGCTCCACTCTGGACTTGGAACAGTGAATGAGCAGAATCTTGTTCTCACTGAGCTTAGGGTCTAGTATAGCTTGCTCCCCAAGAAAAGCCAGTCTTATGAGTGGCTTTATACAGTGGTGCTCTTTGGTCAAGGAAATGTGGAACATAGGCTTTCTAGGTCCCCTTCGAAGAGGATTGTAGCACAACTCAGCATATTAGTTACTTTGAAGTAGAGATTTCTTTGTGTTTAGCCAACATTTAGCCAATTTGTATATCACATAATTTGTTTTTCCATATGACATCTGGAAGAACCCCCTTCAGAGTACATCTTTCACCTCACAGGATGTCAGAAAATCAACTGAGATTGTAAATGTGAATTAAATTTGAAAAGCAAAATGAAAGAATTTTAAATGTAAAGAAATCCTTCACATAGTAGGGACTATATAGCCAAGTGGAAATATTAATAAATGCACCAAGCAGAGGAAGTAAAGGTGGAAGTTGATCAAGGCACATTTTAACCTTGAAAAGGCCTGAACAGCATCTATCCTATCTTCTTAGTTTAGCAATGAGGAGACTCAGGCCCAGAGAGAGCAAACCGTTTGTCTATTGTGACGATGGTGGCAGAGCCAGAGTGAGAACCCAGGACTCTGACCCACAGTTTAATTTCCTTTCCAACGTCTGGTTAGTGTAGAAAAGATTGCAGAGGGTGAAGGAGAAAGTCCCAGACTCAGGTGGGAGGCTGTAGTGTTGTCCTGTGATAGGCATGTGTCCCCAGGGGTGGGAGAGAAGGCTGTGCCATTACTTCTGGCTCAGTGGGAAGAGAGGGCAATAGTGCCTGAGATTGGCGGAGTCTCGAGAGCCCAGGTAAGCTGGAGCAACCCCTCCCCTAACTGAGTGTCATCCTGTCCTGATATTTCAGAATGAAGGATGCAGCGTTGAAGGTGCTTTACCTGCATGATAATCAGCTTCTAGCTGGAGGCCTACAAGCGGGGAAGGTCATTAAAGGTTGGTGGCCAAAACCTCACCTTACTTCCCTAGGTCTCTATATGCTCAGAGGGAGGGGTTCTGAAGAGGGCATAAAAACACTGGCACAAACCTACAGACCTGACACAGTAGATAGGGCGTCAAAAAACCAGGCTCTGAGCAAGGACAAATGAAGTAGCACACTTTCCGGCATGCGCCATGCACTGGAAACCTCTACATAGAGGTGGAATTCTTTTCCAAGATGGCTGTTTTGTCATTTCCTTGGTGGGTGAAGCTGCGTCCAACATCCCTTTTCCTGGTAGCCCTTGCTGAGGAGAGCACTAACGAAGGCTGTCTAAATCTTTACTCTCATGTGAGAGGGGGTTTCCTGCCTCTTTACTCTGGGTCCCCTTGGCTCTCTGAGGGTCCTTGGTCACTCAGAGTGGTGGGACTTAGAGGGGTAGGTGGCACCATCTGGCTTCGTGCTCATTCACTCTGCCCCACACAGCGTGACTGGGCCTGCTCACTAAGCAGTACACACCTGGAACACTCTCACCAGGTGTTAGGACCAGGTAGAGCTCTCTGTGAGGTTGTGTGTGTATGTGTGTGTGTGTGTGTGTGTGAGAGAGAGAGAGAGAGAGAGAGAGAGATGGAGGAATTATACAGAGAGGAATGAGACCCTTTTCTGATCTCAGGACTCTCACAGGAGGGTAGAAAGATGTCCAAATAACTCTAATTGGGAGTTTTATCAATACAGGTTACAGAAAAGTCTGGAGGGTCAAGGGGCATTGAAAGAGGTGATCAAATTTCCCTTGGGGTTTGGAGACTTGAAGTTTTGACCCTGGACAAGATAGTGGATGTGGGGGTGGAAGATAATATCATCTTCAAGGTCCTATGTGTCTTGACGTTCACTGGACCACCTTAGGAGACCACCTTTCCCTACATGACAGTTGCTATGAAGCTCCCCTTCTGTCCAGCCTAGGGGGAGAGTGTCTGATTCAGCCCATAGTTGGGGAGAGAGAGGAAGGGCAGTCAAGGTTCCCTCATCCCCTTCCTTCCTCTAGGTGAGGAGATCAGCGTTGTCCCCAATCGGTCTCTGGATGCCAAGCTCTCTCCGGTCATCCTGGGCGTCCAGGGTGGGAGCCAATGCCTGTCGTGTGGGACAGGGCAGGAACCAACCCTGAAATTAGAGGTGGGTCCTGTCGGGGCAGCCTTACCACGTGGCTTCACTAAGTCAAAGATGCTGCTGCTGCTGCTGCTGCTGTGGCTGGGGCCCCTCTCCCTCGCAGCGTTCTGGTGATCGTGGCTCTGCCTCCTTGTGTCCTTCCGCTTGCCCCTGTCCCTCACCTGTCATGCCCTCTGCCGGCAGCCAGTGAACATCATGGAGCTCTACCACAATGCCGAGAAGTCTAAGAAATTCACCTTCTACCGGCGGGACACGGGGCTCACCTCCAGCTTTGAGTCGGCTGCCTACCCAGGCTGGTTTCTTTGCACGGTGCCTGAAGCTGACCAGCCGCTGCAGATCACCCATCTCCTGAAGGACACCAGCTGGGACGAGCCCATCACCGACTTCTACTTCCAGCAGTGTGACTAGGGCAACGTGTCTCCAGGGCTCCCTGGAAGGCCAGCTCTGGCAGGGGCTGGAGGCGTAGGAGGACACCCATGGTTATCACTCTGCCTCTGCCCTCATGGCCCCCACTTTTGAGGGCTGGGCATACTGCCACTCTTCCTGCCCTTGTTTCCCAATTTGGGTAAATCCTTCTGAGATTTGGGGCTTTCTACAGTTTCCTCTTCTGCTGATTGGCACTACTGGGGTGAATCCTTGAAAAAGTCCCATGAAATAAACCTCTAATGAGTCAGGGTCAGGGGAGCGGTGGAAACCTTCCATGCTTTTTGATAACTTACCTGGTAGCTTTGAGCCCCACAGGGCAGCTCATCTCTAGCTGAGCCTATCAGGGCCACCAGCTGGCCACACGAGGTCCCCACTGTGCAGAAGAGGGAGAGTGGTCATAGAGTTGAGGACTCAGACCCCGCCCCCTTCTCTTTAATTCAGCCACCATCATATGCTGCCTTTTCCATCTCTACCTTCATGTTTCAGCCATGGATGGGAGAGGGTAGTGGTGTCTGAGGAAGTGGCTCCAACTCAGAAGACGGAAGATGGGCATGTCATACCTTTTGAAACCCAAGGTACAATTAAAATCCAAGATACTGATGTCTCCTCACACAGAAAGATGCTCATGACATATTGAGCAAGAAGAATGAGTTGCAAAGTATCATATTTTTTAATTGCAATTTAGTGAAAAAAAACCTATTTATATATATTTCTGCATAGAAACAAAAGTCTGAAAGAGTTGACTTCCATTTTAGCAATGTCAGGGTAATGCTATTAAAGGTGATTTTTCCTCCCTTCTTTTTATTTATCTGTATTTTCTAATTGTTCTACAATGAAGCTGGAGTGGCTGATGATCCCCAGTTGCTTGGTATTCATGCCCCACCCCTGTGCTTCCTCCCACATTGAATCACAGTTGTTTCCATGACCAATAGAACACAACAGAAGTGATGTTATGTAGCTTGTGAGATTAAGTTATAAAAGACACTATGGCTTCTATCTTGGTCTGTTTCTTTGTTCACTTGCTCTGGGGGAAGCCACCTGCTATGTGTGAGCAGCCCTATAAGGAGACCCAGTGGTGGAAAAGGAAGGCTCCTGACAATGGCCACACAAGTGAACTTGACAGTAGCTCCGCCTCCAGCCCAGCTAGGCCTTCAAGTGATGTGCCTCTGATTGACTGTAACCTAGTGAGAGACTGAAGCAGAATCACCCAGCTAAGCTCAGCCCAGTCCTTAGGAACTCTGAGAAAATAAGTGTTCCTGCTTTATGTTGTTAAGGTTTGGGGTCAGGTCGTTTGTTACCCAGCAATACATGACTAGTATGGAGGGGAAGAGAAATAAATCATTTATTTTATTTTGATTGCAAATTTCTCCAGTACTTTTATTGTCCTGGTCAAAATGAACACCAGTCCCTTTATTTCCCCAAACATCAAACTTGAAACATCAGGGACGTCCCTCGTGGTCCAGTGGTTAAGAATCTGCTTTGCAATTCAGGGGACATGGGTTCGATCCCTGGTCGGAGAACTAAGATCCCACATGCTGCAGAGAAACTAAGCCCCTTGCCACAACTACTGGAGCCCAAGTGACACAACTAGAGAGTCTGTGTACTGCAATGGAAGATTCCATGTAACATAACAAAATCCCAAGCGTGGCAACTAAGACCCGACTCAGCCGAGTAAAATAAATATTTTTTTTAAAAAGCTGACCATACTAAATTGGTTGAATATTCTGTTTCCACAAGGTTTAGATCTTTCTCAGCTCCCTTTGCACCTTAAGACATATGGGCCAGAGGCTGTGACTCCAGAGCCCCTGCCTAAACCATGGGGAATCACAGCAGAAGCCAGAGGAGGGGCCCGAATGGTGGTTCCACAAGTCCCCTCTGCACCTCACCAGTCAGACCAGCCTGGCAGGTTCAGCTGCAGCTGAAGGATCAGCGAGGGAGAGGCCAGGCCAGAGGGTCTGGCTCCAGGGACCTCAGCAGCTCCAGCCCAGAAGCAGCATAAAGCCTCAGGCAGCAGACAGCAAGCTGCTACCACAGGCCTCTCAGGGGCGCTGAGAACAGACTTGGTTCACACTGTCTGCCCACATGCCCAGAAAAGGTCTCATATCATCGACTCCCAGGAGCCCCTGCTGAGCTGAGATCCCTTGTCATCAGCTCTGACAGTGCTTTGTGCTAACTCCCCCTCCTTGGAATCAGTTGACTTGGGATCTGAGGCCCCTGAGATCACCTCAAGGTCAAGTCTGTCCTGGCTTGTTTCCAAGCACCTTGAGTAATGTTTGACAAATTATTGGAATCCAGAGAGTGTCGAATATGGAGACTCTTCCTCCACCCAGAATATTCTTTCACCCTCTTCTACCTGTCGAAATGGACCCACCCTGCAGGGAGCAGCTGAAATTCTGCCTCATTCTTGAAGCTTTCTCCAGCTTCAAGTGTGATTGCTGTATCACTTGTAGACTGATAGAATTCAAAAGGACTTTAGCAGGGATGAGCTGACAGGAGTAGTGAAAGAGGAGGAATTATATAAAGGGCGAAAGCCCTTTCAATTCTAGGAATTTATCTTTCTACTCAAGGAGGTTCTCCCCTCTATTGTGTTCAGTATCCCCTGGGCTCAGAGATTAGAGAGTCTGGTCTTTTCAAGTATTTATGACTTAGCTCCCCAGTCAGACTGTAAAGCTACTTAATAACAGGGACCATGTCTTAGATGCCTCTGTTACAGGTCTTGTGAATGCTCAGTGAGCACTGATTGGTTGCCTGGTACAATACCCTGTGCTTTGAACTTTTCCATTGAGGGGACAAGAGATTGGGAGAAGGGGTGAAGAATGACTATTGGCCTTAAAAAACAGATATCTGTTTCCACCTTTGCCCATCTTTTTTCATTGCTCACTCTGCAGACATCTGGGTATAGGACTGACCTCTCCCATGTCCTCACCGAGCTCTTTATGGAACTTTGCAAATGACCCATGAGGGAGAATTACAATAAAGCAGTTGGTGCCCAGAGAATACTATGCCTAAGTGTCTCTGCCCCTTGTAAGTAGGTGGATGAATGGGTGGATCGATGTGTAGACATTCTGATGGATGGATGGATGGATGGGTAGATGGACAGACGGATGGGTGGATGGGTAGATGAACTGATGGATTGATGGATGGATGGACAGATGAGTGGATGGATGGACAGATGAGTGGATGGATGGACTGAATTAAGCAACGTCAATCAGAAGTCCAAGTGTTCTTCATCTCTGTCCTGCTCACACTGTCATATGCCCTTGTAGTCTAGGGCACACGGCACCTGCTCAATCCCAGGATAAATCTAAGGTCAGTGTCTTCTGACTGTAGTGGATTTCCTTAGACATTCATCTCATCAAGCTGGTGCCAACTAATAGAGCCTGTTGAAAAACAAAGACATCCCTTTCATCTTCCCCAACAGGGGCTATTCACAATATCAACAACCCCCATTCTCACATTGCCTTGATGGCCACAGCCTGGCTACGGACAAAAATCTGTCCTTAGGCCCTTCAGACACACTCACTCTTGCCTCTTCTGCTTCCCTAAGACTAGATGGAGCTCCATGGGCACCAAAGGGAAGGTGATATGAAGATGTCTGACCCCAGCATCATTTATCTGGCTGCCAAAACCACCAATATCAGTATTAACGACAGTAGCTTCGAGCAGGGTCCCAGCACCTGACTTCTGCAAAGGCTTTATGGGCGACTCTCTCCCCTTTAACAAATATTCATTAGTGTTCCCACCTTCTTATTATCTAGACTGTGCCAAAGACCTTGTGAAATCCCAGCGCCTTTCTTCCCTATCCTGGAGCCAATTATAAACATTGCTACAGGCTGTCCCACCCTGACCAGGCAATATAAACTCAGTGTAGGCAGCCTGGAGAAATCAAGTGGAGGTTCCAGGCACCCAGGATCTGCAGGTCAGTAGTAGAAGGCAGTGTTTTCTCTTTTTATCTTTTCTTCTCCCTCTGTCAATATCTCTGATAGGCTACCTCCCTTTGATTTCTCCTGGAAAGCTCTCTAGTTAGCAAGGTATCCTTTACATAGATATAGGATGCTAAATAAGTCTAGGGGCACATAGAAAGAATTTGAGGAGAAAGTATAGCTAAGTCATGTTAAAGTTTTTAAATGTTTAGGACAACAGAATTTAAATAAAATTTTAAATACTTTTTAATTTATTTGGCTGCATTGGATCTTTCGTTGCAGCACGAAGGATCTTTCATTGTGGCATACGGACTCTCTAGTTGTGGCTCAAGTGTTTAGCTGCTGTTCCCCTTGTGGGATCTTAGTTCCCTGATTGGGGTCAAACTCATGTCCCCTGCATTGCAAGGCAGATTGTTAATCACTCGACCACCAGGGAAGTCTTCAAGGAGCACAGATTTTAGAAAGTAATTTCAGAAGAAATCATTGAGGCCAGTGGTACCCAGCAATGTTTGATGAAGCTTGATTTTCTTTAGGGATGCCCCAGTGCCTTGAGAGGGGGCAGTGTAATTAATAATTTTTTTAATTTTTAAAAATTAAAAAAATTAAATTTTACAGTTGATTTACAGGCTTCCCTGGTGGCTTAGCAAGTAAAGAACCTACCTGCAATTCAGGAAACTTGGGTTTGATCCCTGGGTCATGAAAATCCCCTGAAGGAGGGCATGACAACCCACTCTGGTATTCTTGCCTGGGAAATCCTGTGGACAGAGGAACCTGGCAGGCTATAGTCCATGGGGTCGCAAAGAGTTGGACACAACTATAGTGACTGAGTATGTGTGCATGCATGCATAGTTGGTTTACATTGTTGTCTTAGTTTTTGCTATGGAGCAAAGTGAATCAGTTAAATATGCATGCATGCTAAGTCGCTTCAGTCGTGTCCAACTCTGCGGGATGCTATGGACAGCAGCCCACCAGGCTCCTCTGTCCACAGTATTCTCTAGGCAAGAATAGTGGAGTGGGTTGCCATTTCTTTCTCCCACATTTCCCTAAGGAGGGGAAATT